GACTATCATCTCACAAAAGCTGTAAATACTGTTGGGTTTTCTGCCATCATTAATCTTTCTAGCATGATCAATGGTGAAGGATGATGGTAGCTGCAATCTAACAACATCTAGCCAACCACCCTTCGCTGTGGCAGAACCCAATCTATCTTTAGAGAACAAGAAAAGGTTCCTGGCTGCTCCTCACTTGATACGGACGCCAATGGAACGCCGGAAGGCTTGAGTCAATGCCTCTGTCTTGCTCATCTCCAAAGAGAAGATCTCACTGCCTGCAATGGCTGTGAAAGGAGTGTCAAGGCCCAGTGCCTGTGCCATTCCTGGAAGAGAGGAGAAGAGATTCATTGAGAGTGAGGCCAGAGCCTGAGCCACTCTTTGGCTCTCTGATACTAAAATTGAAGAAAAAGATGTCCTGCAGCGGGGTTCATCCAAAGATTACTGAGCCACCCCTACTTGAAATGTCAGCAGACCTCTCCCAATTTTTAGGATCTGTTCCTTACCCATGGCAATGGCAGTCTTCCCTGTGCCTGGCTGGCCAGCAATCAGAACAGCTCGGCCAGCAATTTTGCCCTCCTTGATCATCTCCAAGATCACACCAGCAGCCCGACGAGCAGCTAGCTGGCCTACCATGCCCTGGGATACCTAGCAGGGAGAAAACAGAGGGAGAAGTACAGGGGCAGGAAGGGATTCCCCCTTCATTCCCACATTTCTGATCCAAGTCATGTATGCTCATCTCATGCAGATACTGTACTACCTGTCTTCTTCCATCTCAAACAGACCCATATAGATTACCCTCCCTGTTTTGCTCTGCTCCCTTGAAAATCTACACTCATACAGCTATGCAGAAGTTTATGAATCTTGCAATAATGCTCATGATTTTCTTTCTGTTCACAATATCACAATGTGTTTCACATAATACATATATATAGCAGAGGTAAATCAGTGCATTTTGGAATGTTGGCAAATTCCTTTCAACTACAGTTGACTGGACAAAGAAAATCACAAGCAGTGAACAGACAGCATTTAGTTTACCTTGTTTACAAAAGAGATGCCTGTACGTGCAGAAAAACCAATCTATCCTACACCTATAACACAAAACCTTAGTAGACTCTCCCTCATTCAGTCAGAGTCTATCAGCTACACAAGACCTAATCCAGCAACTAGTCAAAAGTTCTTTCTTCCAAGTACCTGTCGGGGTTCCAATGTATCATCCAAGCCAAGCCCTCGGATGTGGGAATGGGCACCTGTGGGAGAGAAAAACTATTCAGAAGAGGTGGGTGAGCTTGCACACCAAAGGAATCAGAACCACAAAGCCATCTAGTGCCATACTGCTCTTTGAGCAAATGCCCGCTTTAGGCATCGATTTTCATGACGACAACAAATCAACACTAGAGATAAGCTCAGGAAGAGGCTGAGTAAACAATGGACACTTACCAATGCGTTCAATTCGGGTGACATCCCGAACTTCGGGCACCTTAGTAGCCTAAGGAAAAAGGGAGAAAAATGAGACTTACCAGATCCACATATACTGGGGGCAAATTTTTCCAGTTAAATCCAATTAGTTAATTTCCCTTCCCCCCCTCCCATTACTTGCACTAGAAAGAAACTAAAGCAAGACATCACCATCTCCCTAGATTGCTTTTCAAAAGATGGAATCTCTTCTGTTATCTCAGTAGCAAAGATGATAAATGTGCACAATACATAGACACACATCACGCCATAGTCAGTGTTTAAAACCCTGGGTTCTAATATGGCACAGTGGTAGAGTGATTTAATGGTTAGTGCTAGGGAAGGCATTAATTCAAATTCCCATTTTAAACTGGCTTAGAACAGGGGACAGAAGCCTTCAGACTAGAAGAATCTACTTTAGTTTTTACCCAAACTGCAAGATCCACAGCCTAAGCAATATATATGGTTTTCAAATTGAAGAAGCCTGAAAACAGGAATGTTTGTGTACCACAACTGAGCACAGCTCAGTTTTTTCCCCACAAAAATCCTCATGATCAAGATCTGCTTTATTTTGGACATTCAAATAGGGCAGTGATGGTGTCATTTTACTATTGCCATATGTTACTTGGCTAAAATCCTTACCAATCCACTTCAGATCATCCAGATCTCAACTAACCTATCAAACACCGCTGGCTTACAGCAAAGAACAAAAGCGAGGCATAGGTTGAAAGCAGGAAAAGCAATGAGAGTGGGATTCCCCACATAGCCTTGAACCTCACTGGGCAAGCTTTGATCAGTCTTTCTCAACCTAATCTACCTCACAGGGCTGTTGAGTGGATGAAAAAAAGGGGGGAAGAAGGAGAGAACCCTGCAAAGCCAGCCGAGCCCCACAGAAAAAAGTGGGATAAAAATAAGTACGCACAATGAATCAGGTCGCACAGGGTGGACTGGCTGGCTCTCCAGATGTTGCAGCACCCATCAGCCTTGGCCAGCACAGGCGAGAGCGGGGGATGATGGGATCTGCAGTTCCACAACATCTGGATAGCTACAAACCGCTGGGGTCTAGAGACTATCAAGGATGGGGGTAGCGAGGCGGGATAATAACGCATCGCAGGGAAGCCAAAGGAAGAGGAAGGGTCACTCTGCAAATCTGAACCTGCCCTCGCCCTCCTCAGCCGGGAGGAGGAGAACCCATGAAGCCAGAGGATCCGGGTATTTTTCTGGAAGGAAAGAAGAGGCTGTCGCTCACCGCGGCTGTTGCCATGCTGCTGCCGGTGCCTCGTCTCGCGCCGTCTCTAAGCGCAGGCCCGCCCCGCCTTCCCAACCGCCGCAGGAAGCCGGAAACCGGAAGGCGATCCTAGTAAGCCAGTACGGCGAGTCTAGTTCATATCTATGATCTTTCGGTCCTCCAGCGTTTACTTTTTTTAAAAAAAAATCTGCTAGTCCCGTTTGACGTGCCCTCGTTCAACCTTCGCCCTACAGTGTCCACCTTCGCGCTCTTAGCCTGCCTCTCCATCCCATAAACACTCTAGTCGCTGCCCTTGCCCCACGTCCCCCTCAATTTTTATCCACCCCGCCGTTACAACCTTGCTGGACTACAACTCCCATAGTTCCTTAATGTTACTTTAGCGTTAATGGGGTTCCCTTGGGTTTATTGAGCTGGACTGGCGCTTGCAAAGGGGATGGGGATGAGCAAATGCAAATCAAGAAGGAAGGAAGGAAAGGGTGGAGAATTTTTGACTTATGGACTTCAACACCCATAAATATCAACCACCACAGCAAACTGTAAGGAACTATGGGAGTTGTAGTGCAGAAGACGACAAAAAGGAGTAATGGAACATAATTTCTCCAGAATGAGTGTGAGGGGGAATACGGTAATTATGGATTATTTGGTTCAGTTTTGGATGACACGGTGTGGATGGAATTTCTTCAGACGTTACCTAGCTCAGGACCAGGTGTCCATTTGTACGCACACAGATGCATGTTTCAGCAAACCAAAAAACCTTTCAGCATATGTATAACATTTGACTCCTCTGGTATATATAGGACAGTCTAGATGGACATACATACATACATACATACGTAGACAAATATAGATTGACTCAGAATACATGAAAATGAAGTTTTACATGATGTTCTTGCTTCTGCTTTTTCAGGTCGTCTTAGTATGCTGTTTCCAGCCAAGCACAAAACATCCCAAAGTGGTTCGATTATTATATCAGGTGTTGTCCTCTAGTCTAGATACATGCCACGAGGTGCTAATGTTCCAAGTCTACAAGTCTGAAAACAATTCCATTCTGGTATGCAAGTTAACTTACAGGCTCAAACATGTCTATGATTACTACCAGACCTGTTTTATTTATGCATTTAATATATTTTACCACACCTTAAAAGGGACCCAAGGTTAGGGTTGCCAGATGTCAGGCAAAAGGAGGACATGTCCTCCTTTTTAGCCTAATGTCCTCCGTCAGGCAGGCAAAGATAAAATGTCAGGCTTTTATATATTTTATGTTATAATTTTGGATGGGAGGGGGAGAGGTGGAAGGACCCCCTGGCTTTCCCCTCCACCACATGCCCGCCCATCCCCGGTATTTTGAAAAAAAAGCCTCCATTGAATTTATTTTTAATTTTTAACATGACTGTTTCTTGGTCGGTTCACTAAGAGACATTTATTGGCAGCTATTGTAATAAAATTGTATTGATTGTGGGTTTAATCTGGAATGATTCAAATGAAATATTCAATATGTCCTCCTCTGTCCTCCTTTTTGTCTTTCTATGTCCTCCTTTTGGTACCAATGTATCTGGCAACCCTACCCAAGGTAGCTTACATCATTAAATGACAATATTTAAAAGATCATGTGTATGGAAACATTTAGAATCACATACCACACTAAAAATGGCAAATTTTATATATAGCCACACTTAATACTTTATACATTTTCTTTTTCTCATTGACAGCCCTCTCCTTCACTGTGTGTGAATGTAACATATATGCTCATATAGAAACACTAAACTAACTAGCATAAGTAATGCATTTGATAAAATGGCTATATTCCACACACACACACAAATCCTGTGTTATAATAAACTTGGTAACTGATAAAGGACATATTTTTTGCTGTTTGTGTTAACGGTTGACTTAGTTACAGCTGTATTCCTATTGTTTTTACCAATAAAGCACTTTCAATACATATAGTATGTCAAGGAAAGATATGTCTTTGGTCCTAAGGAGACTTGGCAAAGGCCCTAGGAAGTGGTAGTGGTGAGGTTTGGACATATTCAGTAGGTATCTAGGCCTGGAGCGCTAAGTGTTCTAACTCTTATGTGCTATATACTTCAAATTAACTGCTTTTATTCTTTTCTCTGCAGTAATTTTTTTCCTGCACATTTATTTTATAATACAATGCATTTTTATTACTTCTAAGTGAAAGCCACTCAGAAACCTATGTTATTAGGAAACCTTACAGAAATATAAAAGGTAAATACAGCAGAAAGAAGAGTGATGTAACAGAACAAAGAGAAAACAAAGCTAGGCAAAAATAATCAAGATTGAAATATATTTTTGAAATTAAAGCTTTATTTAAAAACAAACACAATATTGTCACCAATGCTCCACAGAAATAGTCCCATATTCCTGAGTTTGAAGTCTAAATTATTTTCAGAGATTTGCAACTCCATCCTATGTATATTTATTTGAAATTTGGTTCTGGAGCTTTTAACAGGAGCAACTTGCAATTTAGTGTTGTAGGGGGTTTAGTTGTTTCATTCCTGTTATGTCTGTCTCCAGTTTTCAATCCCCAAATATTCCCGGAATTCCCAAACCTTTAGCGAGCAATAAAACCACAAATAAAATAAGTATAGAACAGGTGAAGAAAAAAAATTCAGGCATTGAAAGTAAAGCTAAGATTGAGTTCTTTTTAAAACTCCTTGTTGTTTGCTTGGACAAACAAATAAGAATTTCACTTGGTCTCACATGACAAAAGCAAGGCATCCTAAAGAAGAGGTGCCACCCTTCTCCTGTGTCACCTCATGGGGATCCCTAGAAAAGAAATGTCTCAACATTGAACAAGTTCATAATAGAACAAGATGTCCTTCAGACTTCCTTAGGTTATAATATTATGCACAGTTAGGTAAAACTATGATGCAGCACCAAATTTAGTTACACATTTCCAAGTAGCCATCCAAAGGAACACAGTTACATTACAAATTATCTGCTTCAAATCAAAAACATTTGAACAGAACTGGAAGTAGGACTCAGTCCATTCTATTTGTGTAGTGGTCTCATCATTCCTACACATCCTAGCTAACAGTCTGGGATAACAGGAATTGTAGTCTAGAGGGCAAACGTTGGCAATGGCTTTTTTGGTCAATAAGATTGTATACACCTAATAAGTCACTATCCAAGTGCCTTAAGAACATGAAATTCTAAACATTTCGTACTCCAATTCCTTGTTTTTGCCTACTTCTTTCATCTGTGAGCCTTAAACTGCTTCTCCAGATGTTAAATATAAAAAGAAAAAACATCAAGCCCTTCCGGAAGATATCTTCCATATAAATACAACATGCCAATAAGAGTAATATTGCCATTTCTCCAATTCACTCCAAACACACACATTCAGAACTACTTAATGCAGATTTCTAGATCACAGTAATAGAGTTAAAAGTTACATTCCACTCATGGCTGCTAGGCCAAACGTTTCTTCCTTAATTTGCTGGAATGAGACAAGATGAGATTTCCTGGATAACTCAAACAAGTTACTAACTTAACTGTCAATTTCTTCAAACAACTTCGAAGAACATACGCTCCTCTGTATAAGTGTCATAAAACTGGCTCATAGCTAGTCCAGCTGCAGGTCAAATATCTCCTCCTGGGCCACAATGCTCTCCTACAAGGAAAGGAAAAAAAACAACCCTGAAAATTATCAGTCATCTTATCAGAATCTTGATAGAAAATATTTAAACAGTATTTGTATTATTATTCTGTCAGATGACCCTAGAAAAGTAAGCCAGATCCAAGTGGGATAGAACATCCCAGTTGAGTCCCAGATTTTGCTTAAGTACTAATGAATCTACCGTGTACAGCTAAAGCAGTTTGATGCCAGTTCAAGTAACACAATTCCATCCTATGGACTCTTGGGATTTGTAGTTTTGGTGAGGTGTTTAGTATTCTCTGCTCTAGTTAAGGGAAATGTGTGGAACATTATGTAGTGCACTAAACTACACACTATGGAATTTCACACGATGGAGCCACAATCAAGTGTTATTAAAGAGCTATAAAACATATACTGTAAATACACCCTAAAACTTGTTTGCTATAAACCATCCAAGATGCTGTAATGCCAACTTGACCTTTGTTTGCTACTGGAATGTTTAGGTTTCTCTCAAGAGTCTGAGGTGTCCTATAGACTCTCATGACACTGAAAACACTGCTGCCAAATAGGTCACTTAGCCCCATTTTTATAGAAGTGGTACGGAAGACTAGAGTGTGAACTGCCTGAGCAACAACACAATGGCTAAAATCCAACAGAAAGCCACAACTGGAGTAGACCCACTGAATCAGTGGGATTTGCTAAAAACCAACTTCTCTGTAAGTTCAAGTGACTCAATGGGGCTGCTCTAGTTGCGACTGACTACTGGATTTCAAGTAATGTATCAAACGGATGGCCCTCTTGGGTAAGAAGTTCACATTCTGTCACTAGTGCCATTATAATGAGGAAGAATGTTCCCATGTCAGTCTCAGTTAAAATTCTACCCCTGACAACATTTGACTATTCTGTTTTCGGAGTCTGATATGTTATAATGGGTGGGGAATAAACTATAATTTGGAAAAGTCCTTGAGGGGTGAGGATATGGACGGCATGGCAACTAGAAAAAAACTAAAGAGTACCAAATGCCATGCCCACCCATTTGGACATTCCCCCAACAACAATATAAAACACGGCTTAATCCTCTGTTCAAGAGCAAGCTTCAGTACTTCTAAAGTAGAAAATTACAGCTGTCCCTGGGGGGCCAAGTAACCCATTCCTCAGGTAACTGATAACAGAGTAACAACAAATCCAGAACTTTGAAATAGAATTCTCCAGGCAGCATAGTTACAGAATATGGTAACTGGAGTATTCTGGAAGTTATAGTGTAGTCCTAAAAAGTAACTTTTCCAAGCTCTGAGCAAAATGAGCAGGCCAGATAAGGAGCCCTTTAAGGCCATATCTGATCTGTAGAGCTGGAATCTCCCTACATTGTACAGTATCTATATATTGCAGCATCACCTGCTTCTCTACATACCCAGCCACCTTGCTGCTGAAGCCAAGGAACAAACATGTCCATATATTGCAGACTGTAGCCCATGAGGGTGTGTACGGTATGGCTGTTGATACCAGCCACTTTCCGTGTCAGCTCCATGGTGAGAGCCAGCTTGGCCAGCTGAGGGCTGGGGACACTCGGCGGAGTACGCGAGGTGAAGGCCTCAGCCAAGCGAGAGAAGCTGCGGTAGGACAGGCGGGAGAGGGCATTGCGTAGAAACGGGTCAGCTTCAATCTACCAAGGAAACAAAAAGCAGAAAAGGCCATAAGAGAAGAGAAGACATCAGGGTGAACCATATGAAGGGCAACTCTGAATTCAAATGAGGAGGGTCTCCTATACTTTTCTATACTTAGAAAAGCAACTCTTTTCATCTACAACTCCCAAAATCCAGTGGCCGTACTGGTTGGGGATTTGGGAAGGTGTGATCCATTAAAACAACTTTCCCAGGTTGTTTTCCTAAGCATTTTTACAACTCCCAAAATCCAGTGGCCGTACTGTACTGGTTGGGGATTTGGGAAGGCGTGATCCATTAAAACAACTTTCCCAGATTGTTTTCCTAAGCATTTATTTAGCATTGAGAGTGTGCTTAGTTAGATATGATGTGTGGCCCAAGTCAAAGAGATGACACTTGCCTCTGCTAATTTTCAAATTTCATTTACTCCTCAATATAGTGGGACTGCAGCTCTCTGCAGCCTAGACAGTGGTGAAGGATGATGGGAGCTGAAGTCCATGAAAATCTGAAAGGCTTCATGTTTTCCATCCCTATATTGGCAGCCTCTTTTATCAATAGAAGAAGAGCAGATTGATGGCCCAGGTAAGGTTACATAAGGCCATTCATTAGTAAACTACTAAACCTATTCAAGCATTATCATTCTATTTAATGAATCCACAGGGCATCTCCACAAGAAAAACACAGGGAGAACAGGAAAGCAGAGGTTTTCTATTCACATGGAGAGCCCCTGCAAGTTCACCTAATGTGTGGTATGCTTAGCTCCTGAAGGCTTTGCCAAAACACTTTGAGCCAGGGCTTTTTAAAGACCCATTTAAAGAATACATAATAAAGAGCTTGGTTCTATTTTCTACATCCTGAGACTTCCTCTCTCATTTATAATCTGGAGCCCCTGCAAGTACCCGATGCTCTCCTATTATTCTCTATGCCTTCAGGGTGATACAAACCGGAGATGAGGAAGGTGGAACTAGAGCACACCCTGTGTTTGTCAGGAATCTAACCCAAATAGTGGTGCCTCACAGGAAGATGATAATCAGCATTCTCTATGCCTTCAGGGTGATACAAACCAGAGATGAGGAAGGTGGGACTAGAGCACACCCTGTGTTTGTCATGAATCTAACCCAAATACAGTGGTGCCCCACATGAAGATGATAATCAGTTCCATAGAAATCGCTGTTTAGCGAAATCATCGTCATGTGAAATCCATTTCCCCACTGGAATGCACTGAAACCCATTTAATGCGTTCCAATGGGGAAAATACCTCGGCATCCTGCAAAGATCGCCCATACGGAAGCCATTTTGCGAGCACCAATCAGCTGTTAAAATGGCTGTCCAGCGAAGCATGGGTCCCGAAAACACAGGGAAGCCATTTTGCGAAGCCGCCAATCAGCTGTAAAAATCATTGTCTTGTGAACAAATGGTCCGCGAAGCACGGACCAAATCATCGTCCAGTGAAAATCCTCCACTGGAATGACTGTTTCGCAAATCGCTATAGCGACTGCAAAACCTCATCGTCATGCGGATTTGTCATTTTACGAGGTCGTCGTCTAGCGAGGTACCACTGTATTAATGTCTATGTAGAGCTACTGTATCCAACAGAGGGCAACCAGGATAGTGAGACTACTAGAAACCAAACCCTGTAAGGGCTGGTTGAAACAGTTGGAAGTATTGATCCTGAAGAAGAGAAAATTCAGCGGAGAGGTTGACAACTATCTTCAAGACATCTAAACGGCTGTCAGGCAGAAAATGGGGCAAACTTGGTTCTTTACTACTTCAGAGAGCAGAACTTCAACAATGGGCAGGAACTGCAAAAAAGAGAGGAGATTCTGGCAAATATCCAGAGAGGCTCTCCAGGTGCTGACCCTTGTTAAGACAGAGTAGCACCACTTACAGTCAAGTTGCAGTCTGGGAACATGACAGTTTGCAGAAGTACAGAAATACTTGAGGGAAAGAACTCAAAACAGTTCACTCAGAGCCAAACATATTCAGTGGCTACAGAACTCTGAGCATCCAGGGAAAGATTGAAAACAAGAACAAAACAGAAAATTGGATAGTAGCAAGAAAGAGAAAAGAAATAAAATAAAGTAACCTTGGAAAAGGCATGATTTACTGGCTGGAACCCTGAAAAAGCACACACCAAACAGCAGCGGTTTTGATCCTGCTTGTACCTCTTTATTGAAGACTCCAGCCTGCTCTTCCAGGAGGGCAATCAGCTTCTGCAGGATTTGTTCTTTTTGTTTCTCATCAAGTTCTCTTGGAAGTTCTCCTGAATTAACTGTGAGCAGAGCAGGAAAAAAAACACGTAAGTTCTAAGATGCAATACAAGCACATGTGATACGATAAGAATTTAAAGGAGGGGGGAAACCAGGCAAGCGTAGATCCTCTGTTCTGAAGAATTTAAAAATTTGCTTCTTTTACTACTCCCAGATATTGGGAAAATTTACTTCTTTGGTTTACAACACCCAGAAATGACAAGGAGCTGTACTCCAAATAGTCACTCATCCAAGATCTGCCTGTTCCTAATCTGGCGGAAATTGTCGCACACAGGAATTTTTTCCCTTGTTGTTTCTGTCACAGGATTATATATTACAGTCTACCAAGGAGATACAAGGTACAAGAAGAGAAAGTTATGGAAGCTAATCCCTACAGTATATGTGGCCCAGGATGAAGGGGCGATCACTGTTGGCCAGCTTGAACTTTCTGACAGGATGCCTTACCTCAGAAAGAAATAGAGTCTGTACCTGGTGTGCTGGATACAGCATCTGTGGGAAGTGTGTTGCTCTGCTCTGGAGGAAAGGGCAAGCTTTTGGCAGCCACAGGGCTGAGCAGTTGTTGCTGTTTCACCAAGTGGTCGAGTTTCTGGGCCACTAAAGTATAAAACTCAGCACCTTCCACATCTGGAATAAAGAATAGAAAAATATAAAAGCAAAGAGCACCATAAATAAAATTTTGGACTAATTCATACTGGGTAACAATGCATTGAATATTAAGTCACTCAACATCAATAATATTATATCTGTCCCATGCCCGTCTTTTGATAGTACAAAGAGTAGTGTGGAGAATAGAGTGTCAGATTAGGATTCCGGAGACCTGATTTGAAACTTCTGCTTAGCCAAGGAAACTTACTGAGGGAAAGACATGGGTGAAACCACTGTTAAAGATCTCACATGCCTCGGAAACTCTACCAGGGTTGCCATGAGTCAGAACTGGCTTGATGGTATAGGGCACACAGCTTTTGAGTTACACAGAACATTTCAGAGGGTGAAGGCAACCACATTTCATCCCAGAAAGAACCCAATTTCCTGTTACTTGAAAAAACAAAACTATGCTTCCCTCCTGTGTTCATGTTTTGAGGTTAAGTCATTGAAATTGCTAGACCAGTATTCTCTGGCAATATACATCTGTGTGGGAGGGTGATCCCATGAGTGTTAACCACATGGTGACAGACTCCCCATCGTCTTGCACTGGTGGCAAGATAAGTTGCGCAATCTGTTGAATAAACTGGTCATGGAAGAGGTGCTTCTGGAGTGAGAAAAAGCTTAAATAATTTTGCTGAGGGCTATGAAAAGGGTGCTAGCCCTAGTCTTTAAGAATCAGCTATCATATGAACAGTTTTGTGCAACTGTCGTTCTGCTATCACCTGTCATTTTGCTAACAGAGATACAATACAAAGGCTTTTCAGGCCCTAAAAAGATACGCTCACTATTTATATTCCCAGACAGAGGAATAAGGCATTAGTAATGTACAGTGGTGCCCCGCATAGCGACAATAATCCGTTCTGAAAAAAATCGTCGCTATCCGGATTCATCGTTAAATGGTGTGCTCGCTATGCAGGGCACCACTGCACATTTGATTTTGGAAAGGAAAAAGGAAGCTAAGAAGAATTCAAACTTAGTTTTTACCTCTTTATATGTGCAGTGCTTTGGGAATGTTAGAATTTACCAACGTACACAAATATTGCTAACTTTAAGGTCTAAGTATATGCTTCCAAGTACTTTAAAACAGTCTTCCTCCACCCTGGTGCCCTCCAATTGTGATAACTACAACTCCCATCATCTCATCTGCAGGACACTGGTCATTCTGTCTAGAGAATTCTGAGACTTGTAGTTCAAAAAAAATTGTTACTGCTTCACTTTCAAGCAAAAAGCATCATTTCCCCTCGCTCCTCCTCCTTGCCCATCATTCTGATTCTATCAAAAGTGAAGAAGAATTAAAGATTATTTATTTATTTTTTATTTTATTTTATTTTTATGCTTCCCATTTGGCTGCCAGGGCCACTCTGGGCGGTTCACAACCCAAAAACAAATAATAATATAAAAACAATATACATAATAATAAAAAAATTAAACATCAAATAAATATAAACAAGCAGCATAACTAAAAACTAGAGATAATTAAGACAACTTAAAGGCAAGGTGGAGGAACAGGTAGTATAAAATGCTGAAACAACCACTCTGTTATGATGTGAAGTTATCCTTTGTCAAGCTATAATTGTCCTGTAATATAACTATGTCTCTGTTATTGGAGAGAAGTAATTAATTACAAGTGACTACCTATTTTCAACCAGTTCATTGTAAACTTTAGGATTTCCTTACCAGTTCCCTCAATGCCCTGTTGCTCGAGTGGCTGATTTTGACAGTAGCAGGCATCAAGAGGCAAAGAATCAGGGCGCTGGGGTGAAGCCACCGGATCATCTGTGATTTCCCCTGAGTCGGTGCCTTTCTTCCGCAAGAGGTTTTTGAAAGAGAAGGTGCGTTTCTGGCGGGTGTCCTCCCCTGCTTCACCTCCTCCCTTGGGACGCTTCAAAGAGTTCTTAGAGAAAGGAGGGCTCTCAGCAGGATCTCGTGAGCCAGTCCGTCGTCGCAATAGCTGCTTGATACTGGTGCGGAAGCCATGTTTTTTCTCTTCCACACGGTTAATTTCCTCATGGACAGGAGTCCAGCTTGGACAGTGTTGGGCATGTTCATTTGGGTTTCTGAAGTGAAAGAAAGACGACATTAACATGGAAGTCTGGACTCCTCAAGGTACAGTGGTGCCTTGCATTACGACGTTAATTCATTCCAGCAAAATCGCTGTAGAATGAAAACGTCGTAAAGCGAAAATTAAAAAGTCATTGAAACGCATTAAAACCTGGTTAATGCGATTCAATCAGCTAAGAACTCGCCGTCCAGCGAAGATCCTCCATAGGGGCAGCCATTTTCGGGTGCCTGTGCAGCAAAAAATGACTCCTAAACACAGCGGGGAGCCATTTTGAGCACCCGGTGGCCATTTTGAAAACCCAACGATCAGCTGTTTTGATCGTCGGGAAGCGAAAATCGGTTCCCAAAACAGGGAACCGATCATCGCGCAGCGAAATTCCCCCATTCAAAACGTCATTTTGCAATCGCTTTTGCGATTGCAAAAACCTCATTGTAATGCAGACTCGTCGTTAAACAGAGCGCCTATCTTGCGAGGCACCACTGTAGTACGTTTTACTTGTCCTTATTCTCTCACTCCTCTAACTTGAAAGGATTTCTAGAACACCTAGCCATTAAAATAATTAAGTTTAAAGAAGAGAGCAATACATTAAAACAGCAGCACAATAAGAGTAGTTACATTTGTCACAACTGCTCAATATCTGAAAAATTCTAAAAACAAACATTTTAATAGCATCAGAAATGGGTGGGCAAATAAAAAGGTCTCCACAAAGGACTGAAACGACAATGAAGGTGACACCCACTGAGTCCCCATGGGGAGGCTATTCCGAAAGCAGAATTCCACCACTAAATAGACCCTGCCTCTAATCAATACCTGCTTTGTGTCTCCACCTCAAGCTGTTACCTGTGCATGTAACTTTGGGGGTCATGGTAGGCACGACCAACATGACCTGGGGCTCCCGACTTCCCATGGCTTAGGGCCCCTTGTAGAAATGCCTCGAGGACCAATCGGGTCTCTTCTTCTATCTTCTTCCTGTGGGGCAGCGGGCTCCCAGCCATGAGCCTGCAGGTCTGCAAGAGGAGGAGGGCATTCAAAAAAGTCCCCCTCCCTTACATTTAGCATCACGCCTGGAAGGAAAAACAGAACACATGTTGTATTAGCTACTTCTCTTGCCATCCCTGCCTTCTCCCTACCATCGTTTACACCCTGTTTGTGTGAATAACTGCCAGACCCTCCCGACAGCTTTTCAATCACATTATTCACTCTCCTGCTCCTACCAAGCTATCTAGTTCAGCTGGCCATTCAGAAACAAGGCACTCCATTCATCAACTGTTGCCCCATCAAACTAACCCATACAATCTTGACTCAATTCATGCCAGAAATTGAGATCACTGCACAGCAAGAAACAGCCCCCCGAAAAAAACACAACCCTTGATATCTCAAATAAGTAAGCCAAATCACAAAGCACGAAGACAAACAAAGTCCCTTTTCTCACTTCAGATACGACACTCAGTCATGCCTTCGTCTATAGTGCTTAACAAAGCCTGATTTATTCAAAACTAACAAATAGGTTTGTGGCACATTAAAGATGAACCAAAAAAATCAAATAAATTTGTTGTCATTGTAAGTATATACATAGTATACCCATACAACAAAATTCACAGACACCAAGAGACCAGACCCACATGCACACACATATTTCAAGAAGAAACACAAAACAAAAATTAAAAAATGACATTGTAGCACTTTAAAGACTAACTGCTATATATTAATGTAAACTTTCATGGAAAACTGTCCACTCTTTCAGTTAGAATGCAAAGACTACATAGTAAAACCATGTTTGAGTAATTTGTTATTTTTGTTTATTTATTTTACTTTATATATTCAATTGCTAGTTGGATAGCTTAGTTAGGTACAGTATCTGGCTGCACAGCCAGAGATTTGAAGTTTGATTCCCCCACTGTGCCTCTTGCAGGTACAATCTGTGTGGCCTTGGGCAAGCTGCACAGCCCCATGATGCCTCCAGAAGGAGGAAACGGTAAACTATTTCCGAGTATTCTCTACCTGGAAAACCCTGAAAAAGGATCACCATAAGTCAGAACTGACTGGATGGCAGATGACTATTATTATATATTTAGCTATTTTAGTTTTGGTTATTTATTTTGTATAGTCCATTTCTTCATTGGTAGATCATTCATTTACCTTGTAGTTCATCCACTCATTCCTCCAAGGAAATAAAATAAATCACAAATAAAGATAGAATTATTGAGTTGGAAAGAGCATATAAGACCAGAGAATCCAATCCCCTGATCAATGTAGGAATCCAAACACAGAATCACTGAAAAATTTAACTGGAAGATACATACAGTGGGGTCTTGACTTGAGAACTTAATCCGTATTGGAAGGCGGTTCTCAAGTCAAAAAGTTCTCAGGTCAAATCTGCATTTCCCATAGGAATGCATTGAAAACCATTTGATCCGTATCTGCTCTTTTCCGTCCATAGAAACTAATGGGAAGCTGCTATTCCGCCTTCGACCACTAGAGGGGGATATTTTGTTTCTTTTTTTCTTAGGTCAAGAAAGGTTCAGGGAAGGCAGGGAAAATACAGTCCAGGCAGTACAGTACCAGGCAGTCCGAAGACTGTCTCCCAATCCACTCTCTAAACACTGGGAGGAGTGAGGAAGCAGACAGGCACCCCTTTCACTGGCCAACAGTTAACTGAAAGTTCACTTTTTGCGCTTTCCCTGCCTACCACGCGGGGTTTTTTCAGTTCTTAACTCAAATCTAAGTATGTAAGTCAAGTCAATATTTTCCTATGAGAGCGGTTCTTAAGTCAAAATGTTCTTAACTCAAGCTGTTCTTAAGTCAAGACCCCACTGTATTTAAAACCTGGTAGCAATGCACAATTTCATGCAGGTTGTTAAAAGACCATATGAAAACGATTCCTCTTACCACTACAAGGAAGTGCTTTTCTCACTGTGCTCTTATGAAGCCAGTACAGGTATTATTTAAACTGACCCTAAATACAAAGTTCGATCTCATCTTGAACTAGGAATAAAGCGAATGAGTACAATATTAATCCCTCCCCAACTAAGAGCATCCACATGGATTCTTTACAGAGATATAGGCTAAAATATCAAAAACAATACAGTCTAAAAGACTGAAAAATATCCACGAGTGTAAAGGCAGGTTTACTTCACAACCTCTCTTCCTGGAATAATATAGTATCTGCCCACAAGAGTCCCCCTCTCCGGCAAAAAATCATAATTACTACCCACCTCTCATACTCGCAGACGCATATGATTTTCAAGACCGGGACTGCAAACCCTATCCATGTTTCCTCAAGCGTAAGCCTTACTAAGTGTAACAGACTTTACTCCTAGCTAAGTGTATGGCATTGCAGCCTCGGTTTCTTCTGCTTGTGTGCTCTTCCTGCCCAACTCCATTCATCGCCTTTTTCGTCCTTCTTTTCTCCAGCACATTCGGAAGTAGATCGGAAAAGCCTCAAGAATAAAATGCCCGACGGTCGTCACCCCAAATTTAATCCTCGATCAGAAAAGGAGAGAAGCGCTCCTACCAACCTGAATTAATAAACTATGCCACAAAACTTCCTTGAAAAGTTGGCACACCGACAGGCCTGGGCATGCGCCGCTCACTCTCGGGACGCCAACCTTGGTTTCCTTTCCCGGCTTCTAGAGGGAGGGGGCGGAGAAAGCCGTTGGGGGCGGGATTATGTAGAAGCCCCGCCTCCAAGCGTCGTCTCTCGCTCGGCCGGCGGCCCCCGAAGTTGAAGGGAGGCTGAACGTGGATGGCTTTGGCGGGAACTTTCGAAGGCGTCGAAGCGGAGGATGCCTTTGTAGCTCTGAGGGAAGGAGAACTACTCCATCCTGTCGAGCAAGGGCATCCAAGGATCATTTCTCCATAAATCATTGGGCCTAAATCATTGACTGATTTCAGTTTTAACCCGTCCATCTAATGGTCAGGCTATTAACCCAGGGTGGCTTACAATAAGAGCATCCAAAATATAAACTAAGATTCAATAATAAACAACAATTAAGACCTTAAGCAAAAGTGCGGACAAAAGCCAAACTCAAATTAAATCTATAATAGGATATGTTTCTCCCCTCCTTGTTGCAGAGCAGTTCTCCCCCTCTCATTTTCCTCTCCTTTCAGATCTCCCACCAACTCTCCTCAGACTGAAGAAGCTACTTGGATGAGTTGCCAAACGTTTCGATCTAATCAGAAAGAAGTCCAGTTGCCGCAACTCAGCTTCCAGATACTGTACACCAAAAGAACAATTTCACTCCTGCTTTAGCAACAGTGAATAACAACCACTTTGAATGGATTCCTTTTCAACGGTCATCAAGCAGAGGACTTCCTAGCAGTCTAATATCATTGCAGTTTGTGCTTTGCTTTACAACACTGGTTCTCAACCTTGGCTTACTCAGGAGTTGTGGACTGCAATTCCCAGAAGCCTTCACCACCAACTGTGCTGGCTGGGGTTTCTGGGAGTTGCAGTTCAAAAACATACGAGTAACAAAGGTTGGGAACCTAGGCTTTACAAGAATGAGCACTTTCTTCGTCTTAATATATGACTGTGATCCTGTCCCGTGTCTCTTACCTCTTTGACTATGTTTTTCTTCAAAGAACAAGGCAATACACCAAAGTCTTCTAATAAAACAGTTTTATTATTTAACAAGTCTGCTTTATTCATGGCAACCTAGCAGTTTGAAAGCACATAAATGTGAGTAGATAAATAGGTACCACCTCAGTGGGAAGGTAATGGCGATCCGTGTCTAGTCGCTCTGGCCACGGAAACTGTCTTCGGACAAATGCTGGCTCTATTGCTTGAAAACGGGGATGAGCACCGCGCCCTAGAGTTGGACACGACTGGACTAAATGTCAAGGGGAACCTTTACCTGCTTCATTTATGTTAATACTTTCTGTTTCTGTCACAAGTCATAAATCTTAACCTTAGTAAAACATGATAAGTCTCCTTGGAAAGATAAAGGGGAAGAAGAATTTGCAACTCCGTGGGTCCACGTTGGTATGGTGCCCGAGCCATCAGGTGTATTGCCCATTCACATCATGGCTGAGAGTGGTGAACCCAGCCCACCTGTGGCTCCCAAACCTTCTTGCCCTTGTTCTGCCTCGCTTGTGTTTGGAAAAGCCTGGCTCAACATGATCTCCCAGGGCTCTCTACATCTCCTTTGCTCCTTCCTCTGCTCCTCTCTTTGCTGCCAAGCTTTGTACTCTTTCCGTTGTCTCCTTTCTTCTGTCTCCCCCCAACTTATCTAATCCACTCTCTCACTCTCTCTGCATACTCTTTAGGGACTCTAAACTCTACCCACTCCCCTGTCCAGGGATCTTCTTGAACTATCCCTACTAACTCCTCAGGTTTCAGTGTCTCCTCCTGTGCCCAACAAGCTTCCTCCTCCTTCGTGTCCCTCCCTTTTATATCCTTCTCTTTTCCTGCCCAATTGGCACCCTCTGGTGTTTCTGTCTTTATCTTCATTTGCTTTAACCCTTTTTCAATAGCTTCTGTCTCATCCTCTGTCTTTCTGATGGGAGAGATGGATGGTACACTCTGTAGTAGAGTATCTTTGAGGTTACTCTCAGCCTCACAATTACACACTAGGGACTACTGAACTTAAGATGAAGAGAAGGGAAGCAAGTTTTTATTTTTTTATCCTTTTTGGGGTAGATTTGTTGAATTTGTATTAGTGAAAGGAAAGGGGAAAGCCTCTAAACAACAATCAATACAATTTTGGAAAGGAAGTTTGTATTAAAAATATTGTTCCAATGGGTCCCGTCGGTATGGGGTGCACAGTGGTTTACACTGTATAGTAGATATTTTATATTTTTGTATTTGTTTTTGTTTTGAAAATTTTAAAAATGCTATTACACACTAGGTCTGTTCAAGGAACTAAAATATAATCAAGTACTGTATGGAGATATGACATTGGAGGCCAAGATTATCCACACTCTTGTATTTCTGATCACCATGTATGGGTGTGAAAGCTGGATAGTAAAGAAAATGGAAAGGGGGAAAAACTACAGTATTGGTTTAAAATGTGGTGCTAAAGGATAGCTGAACTGCCAGAAAAACAAACAAGTGGGTCCTGGTTCAAATCAAGCCTGATCTCTTGAGGCAAAACTGTTGAAACTGAGGTTGTCCTACTTTGGGCACATAATGAGAAGACAAGATTACCTGGAAAATACAATAATGCTTGGAAGGGCAGAAGACAGCAGGAAAAGAGGAAGACCAAATAAGAGGTAGATTGACTCAGTAAAGGTCACCACAGGCTTTAGTTTACAAGAGCTGAAAAAAGGGCTGTTGAGGACAGCATATGTTGGAGCTCTCTCATTCATAGGGTCCGCATCAGTCTGAGGCAACTTGACGGCGCCTAAAAACAAGATCTCTTGTCCGATTTATATGTTGGGTTTCCTTAGATCCTAGTGTCAACTTGCATTTGCAATGTCCAAGCTTATATGTACTTTATTCCTTTGGTTTCTTTTTGCAAGTTTACCTTGTTAAGACTGATATGCCACTGAATGCCAGTTGTTAGAAAAGGATTTTGCCCTGGGGTCCTGCTTATGGGCTTCCAGAGGCATCTGGTTGGCCACAGTGGGAAACAGCCACGGGATGTGGGCTAGATAGCCCTTTATTCTGATTCAGAAGTGTTATGCTTTTTATGCTTAAATAGCTCCTAGTTAGCCAATTAAAACCTACAAATGACAGAAAATTTGTTTTTATCAGTGTGGTGACTGACTATATCTGAATGTCGCCTGAATGCATTCCTGCAAACAACTCTTGCTCACCCATGAGATTGTAACCCCAAAAAATAATGGATACGAGGGAGGTTATAAGAGTTAGACCAAGAAACTGGAAAAATAAAATCTGTGGCTGTTATCATTTGTTAGGGCTTATTCTGGGAGTTGAAGTCCAAAACATATGGAGGACCAAAGGTTGAGAACTCTAGCCTTTTTAGGCAGCCTATAAGGCATGAAATAAAGGCTGTGCATTAAAGGGAGAATAAATGATCCCCTTTATTCTACACCCATTGGCAAGTAACTAATTCAGAACATAAGGGCAATCCTGTAAGCATTTTGCTGTTCTGGCAGGCCCCACATTGCACAACTATACAATCAGTTGCACCGCTGAGCTTGCAAACGTGAGACCAGGCATGCGAAGGGGAACTGCCGTAGTAGAGGAATACAGTACTTATGTGATTCCTCACGTCCTTATGATTACATAACACAGTGGGATGGTGGCCACTGCTTTTGCAAGCCATGCCAACCACTCTTGCTTTCATTCTGCTAATGGGTGTGTTCTCATATATGGGCTGAAGAAGAATAGAAATAGGGAGTAACAGAGGCCTTTGGCATAAAAAATGAAGGCCTTCTTGATCAAACCTAGATGGAAAGCCAGATATCCATGTGCACAGAGGCTTAATGAGGGCATCTGACTAGACAGAGTGGCACCTTTGTAGCTTGTTATTGGCCTTCTGCCTGTTACAGCCTCGTTAATATAACACTGGTTATATTAGGCAAGTACAGGTCACTATGCTTCACCTTTCTTTTGTGTAAATCAGGGAATTAATAGAAGACCAAATCTTTCTAAAGAAGAACCAGCATGGTATTTATAAAAAGCTAGTGCTATTCTTTCTTATGTGATGCTGAATTGCTTTTAACACAGTGGTAATTAATTGATTTGCTTGCATTTTACTCTTAAGAATGCTCATATTTTTATCTGTATCCTCTTAAAACTAACCTTCTGATTTGCCCTGAGTCCCGGTTTTGGAAGATGCACAAGGTAGCAGTCAGATAAATAAGATTGCTCATGCCTCAACAGGAAACGCCACTTAGTGCAAGATAAGAAGTTACAATACTGCATCAGTTTCCATGCATCAGTTTCCATGTTAACACGCCCACCCTGAACAACTTCAGGAAAGGCAGCTATATTAGTCTCCTGCAGAAAAAGCAAGTCCTGCTGCATCTGAAAGCCCAGCAATAGTGTTTGTGGATTAAAGCTCACTTTATGAAGTGTATGTGGTGTTTTTCTCAATGGGCAGCTGTGTACATGTGTATTGGGAGCAAATATCAGTAAACACATAAAGTAAACCAAGGTGTAGATTAAAATCAGAAATCATGAACAGTGAGGCCAAGCAGCTATGGAATGCAAAAATGCAGATTGTGAATACTCCCAGATGATCTTTTGATCACAAATTCACGTTGTTTTAGATATAATTGTCTACTCCTCATCCTCCTTGTATTCCCATCGCTTTTCCATCTTTTTTTCTTATTAGCAAAAAACTGTCAAGCCTGAACCTTCTCTAAAAGTGAAAATGACAAAACCTGAGGCTATCTTACTTTGGGCACATAATTAAAAGACAAGACTCATTAGAAGAGGGAATACGTACTGGGAAAGCTGAAGTTGGCAGGACAAGAGGAAGAGAACGTGGCTTCAACAACATCAGCAATATGGCCCATAACTTTAGCTAAAACGAATGCCCAAATATAGCATTTAGGAAGTGTAAACAGAAGGAAGGACCATTCGATCATATGTGGTGGATTTATAAAAAAGCGCAAAGATAGTGGAACAAAGTGATAATGTTGTTACAAGAAGTTTTTGAAAGTCCAGCTCCTATGAAACCTGAATTATTTTTATTAAATATTTTGCTGGACTCAATGGACCTTGCAAAACCATATTTAGGTATTCATACAGTATTGTAACAGCCACAAGATTAGTTTTTGCAAAACACTGGAAGGAGCCTGAAATACTGCAAATAAAACTGATAGCTAAAACTTTTGAAACTGCAGAAATGGATAAATTATCAGACTGGCTAGATAAAACAAGGAAAAAGAACCCCCAGAAATGTTGGGGAAAAACTGTATGTAGGGTTTCAAAATAGAAAGAGGAACTGATAATATAAAAATATAGACAGCCATGTAACTAATGATTAGATTAATACTAAGTATGTCTGAATTGGATTGTGTAACATATCGAAAATATAATTTGAATGGATTGTATACTATATGGGCACTATAGTACATGTAATTGCTTGTAAAGTAACTTTTCAGTCTCACTCCCCTTTTATCCTTATCCCCATTGTTCCCTTCCCTACCCTAAGATGAAAAGAAAAAAAAGAAAAAAACCATCAGCCTTGTGAATTTGAGACATTAATAACAGCATATGAATTGGAACCACCCACAAGAACTTAATGCACAGTCTTGAAGAAGATGATTTATCATCAAAAGCTCGTTGTTTGTGTGTTTTTTTTAAAAAAAATGTTAATGTCCAATTAAAGATATCACCTGTTCCTGTACCTGTACAACTGTGAAATAGATTGACTCAATAAAGGAAGCCACGGCCCGGAAAGATATCACCTGTTCCTGTACCTGTACACTGTGAAATCGATTGACTCAATAAAGGAAGTTTACAAACACTTGAACAACGTTGTCAATGACAGAACCGAGATCCCCTAGGTCGCCAAAAATCGGCATACAAAGAATATATCCGAGGAGTAAGTCATTGCTAGAGCCGTGGGAGATCCAGGTGAAATCCTTTTTTTACCCCCTCTTGCGTCACGTCACCATCTCCTCCTGGCGCAAAAAGGAAAGAGATGGCAGAGCTTCGGCCCGTTCAGACGGGGCCGCGATCCGTAGCTTCCTCTCTTTCGGAGCCTCCTCGGCGCCCGGTTGCACAAGAGACGCCCCATTTCCGAGGTCGACGGAACTCCCCGCCGCCCCGGCCGGCAGAGAGGGGCAGGCGTTTGCCGGGCCGAGGGGAGGTTTCCCTGGACCGAAAAGGGAAGTGACGCCAAGCAAGGGTTCCCGGAAGCGACTGGCTCCTGTGTGCGATTGTAGTGTTTTCACTTTTTTCATGCAAGTTGCAGCAAGGGGGGGGGAGAGAAGAAGAAGGCGAGAGAGAAAGGTAGGTAAAGGTAAAAAGTTGAGGGCGATGGTGCTGAGCGATCCGCCGGATCGGGTCTTGAAATCAGAGGTAATCGGGGCCCCATCCGGAGGCGTGCGATCCTTCACCTCCTGGGAAGTAAAGCCCCCCCACCCTCGGTCCACCTATGCTGAGCGCACGAGTTCTTGCCAGCTGCTGGCGCCCCCCGTTTAATGCGCAATCCTAGGCATGCTTCCTCGGAGGTAAGTCGCCTTCGGTGGCAGCCTTTGGCGAGAGAGGTCCGAAGTGCTGACGCCTCGACGGTCCCAAAGAATAGCACTGGCGTAGCAAAACGTGTCTTGAGCGCCTGGTGGGTGCAGCCTCCCTAGTGGGTGATGGCACCGGGGAAGGAGAGGGGGGTTTGGTTTCTCTGGGCTGGTTGGCTTGGCTGTGTCGAAAGGGACGGGAAGGGGTGTTGATGCCATCTGGAGCGATCATTAAGTGGGAAGGGGAGAAGCTGTTGGGGTCCTCCAGGCGTTCCTTAGATTGAAGCCAGGCAGGTGATGATGATGATGGGGGAGTACTGAGGGTGTGTGTTCCTCAAACCTACGCTGAGGATGGTGGGCAGTCATCGTTTTCCCCAGTGTGCCATTAATTGGAATGACTACTAAGGAGGACTCCTACCACGTCCCCAGTTTGAATTGGGGTCCTCTGTCACAAACCCACTAAGTGGCTTGTCTCAAAGCCACTCCTGCTGTCTGTAATGCAGAGCACAGATGAGCATTGTGGGGTGCTCCTCCTGCCAATGCAGCCATTAAGGATAAGATTTTCAGAATTAACAAACTCCCAGTCCCGTAATTTGGCCTGGTGGGTTTGAAAAATCCCATCCGGCCATACCCTCTTCCAAACTACTCTCTTCCTTTCCTGCTTGGTTGTATTTTGAGGCCACCCAGAATGCCCATCAGGCCACTGGAGCAAAACATCTCCTTAAGGATGTTTTGCACTTCTGCAAACCTTGGAAAGAACCCAAGCCCGCTGATTCCTCTCTACTGTATGTTTGTTTTGTTGAACTGTACTATTTGGAGTTCCATTAGGCTCCATTGTCTTCCTTACCTTTTAAAGCAAAATAAGTGGTTATAGTAATGATTTAATCTTATTTTTTAAAAGGATTGGAACTGGATAATGTACATGAAGTATTTGAAGACTGGAAAATGTATCCATAAATGTTGAATATTAGTGGCTGAGTCAACTACTTAGTCTGTAGTTGGCAGGGTTAAAGGCCACTTGCTCGCTTACTCACTCCGAGCAGTGACAGAGAGAGCATATGGAAAAGACACTCAATATGGAACATTAATCAGTTTCCTTACTGTCACAGCACATTAGAATAATAATTCTATGTAACATAGCTGGGAATCTCTACCTTTTAATTATCCTGTTTAATATAATGGACTAAAGTGTGTTAAAGGACAATGATGCTGAGAAAGATGAAAGGCAGCAGGAACAGAGAAAGACCAAATACGAGATGAACTGACTTTCCAAAGGAAGCCACAGGGTTAAGAGCTGAGCAGGGCAATTGAGGACAGGGCATTTTGGTGATTGCTAATTCATAAATCGGGGTGACTTGATGGGACATAACAACAGCAACAATATTGAAAAGTGAAAAGTCCAAAGGAAGATCCCCTGACAATGCATGTACTGTACAGTGGTGCCTTGACTTACGAAATTAATTGGTTCTGGAACTCCGGTCGTAACTCGAAATGGTCGTAAGTTGAAGCACCATTTCCCATAGGAATGCATTGAAATGCAATTAATCCGTTCCGGCCGAAGGAAAAAAACACACCAAAAAAACTCCAAACAACAACATTGCAAGACCCATTGGAAACATGATTAATCCGTCCCGGCTGAAGGGCGAAAAAAGAAAAGCAACACCCTTCGGAAATGCAAAAAAAGAAAAGCAGAAAGCAAACAAACCGTGCAAGACCCATCACAGCATAGAAACATAATCCCACCACTCAGCCCAAAATCACACTGCAAAACCCATCCAGAATAGTTCTTAGAAAGCACAAAGCAGCACCTTACTTTACCAGGCAGTCCGAAGCCTCCTCCGATCGCACTCACTCTAACTGCTGAGGCAAAAGAGCTACAAATAAGCATCCTCTTCACCACCAACGGTTAGCAATTTGAATTTCCCTCCTTTTTTCCCCTGCCTTTTTCTGTTCATAACTGGAAGCTCTGGCCACAAGTTGAAGTAAAATTTTGTGTCCGGAGCTGGTCGTAACTCGAAATGGTTGTAAATCGGGATGTTTGTAAGTCGAGGCACCACTGTACATGGTCACGTAACCTGGATGAGTTCACTTCCTATCTCTGATTTTGTTTTTGAGATGATTAGGTTGTTGCTGTTTATCAGGCTGATGATAATGCTTGCATTTACTGATTGTGGACAAAGGATAATAGTAATATTGGTGGTAGTGAAGTGATGTGATTGAATTCATGGTTGCCTGTGGATCTTGGGGTCCCCACAGCTGGTCCACAATTCTGTGTTTGTAACTTCACACTCATCTTTGGACACCTTTTAAAGCCCTCAGATACACAGATATTAGTATGTGTAACAGTCTGTGCTGGAAAGATGAATGCTGCTTTCTGGAATTGCAAACCCCCCCCCCCATTTTGTGTAAAGGGAGGTGATATGAAGTTGGAGGGATTTATTGACATCCAGTTTCTCCTTTCCTTTCCAGGTTGCATCCTGTACTCCAGCTTGGCAGCTTAGCCACCTGCCCATCCCCTGTACTCTCTCACACAGCTCCTATGGCCCTATAAACCTTGCAATGTGGCTCTCAACTAGCTGAGTTCTCTTCCCCGCTGTGGGGAGAAAGGTGAGATGGCGTTTATGGACGGCTGGCCCTCCGCTACATTTTCACCACATTGTGCAGTTGAAAAGTGGGACGTGGGAAGGTGAGCTATTATTGCTTGGGTGGCAGTAAAAAAAATTGGGGAAAAGGGTGATGAGCCAGTAGAAGAAGGCCAGTGGGTGAAGAGTGGAGTGAAGAAAAGGAATAGCCAGCAATGGTGGAGAAATGAGGGGAGGGAGGGATATATATCATGATTGCTAGATATAAAGAGGTCTGGGAGTGCCAGTAAAATCCCTGGAAGGGAGAGTGTGTGAGGAGCTCTGTACAAATCTGAAGGTATAGGACAAAGGCAGAGGAAAGGACCAAAACACCTTTTTTTCCCCTTGCCAGCGGCTACATTTCTTAATCAGTCAAGCACCTTACAATGATGTAGGGTCCGGCAGGAAGGAAATTGGACTGTCTGTATTGCAACCTCACAAGGCTTTGTGGTGTAGGAGTACAACCTAGCACCATCCTGCAAGTTGGAGAGCCACTGTGTTTCTTGGGAGATTTGTCAACAGCATGAAACTGAGCAGTGGTGAAGATTTTGATAGATTCTGGGACGTCCAGTTCACCTCCTCCCCCTGCTTCAAAGAAGTTGCTCACCTCTGATGTAGCCCAGTATTCTGTTTGCTAGAGTGGCCAGCCAGATAGCCGAGGGAGTCCACTAGTGGAATGTGATGGCAATCACCAGCTTCTGCCATTGCCCCCAGCCTTTGGAATACAGTAGTGTTCTTGATTCCAAACCCTGAGATTCTGTTTAGTGCCTATAGCTAAAAACTGACCTCTATGATTTTTTTTTTTTTTGCAAAGCTTTCTGGGCTAGTAGTCATCACTTCTTGCAGTGGTGGCTTAGCTGTATTTAATTTCAGAAGAAATAAATATAGATCCATTGTGGATATGCTTCTTATTGGTTTCATAGAAGACTCATATGAGAGTCCTAGCATTACTAGTGATGGGCATTATTGGGCCAGCCCTACCATTAGACAAGAATGAGTTGGCCACCTCAGGCAGCTGATTTTGAATGTCAAGAAAGGGAAGTAAGTTGCCAGCCATTTGATTTATTACTATTGTATTTTCAGTTTCAGAAAGAGAGAGGCTGGGATTAAAACAAAAACAAAACACACTGCCATCAATAAAAATACTGTAATATTTTCAAGGATTTCCTGCACTGCATACCATAATAACATGGCCAGCTTTGTGCACTGTACTCCTTGACATGGAACTGGGATGCCATTTGCTATTTCATCTTGGACAGCAAATTTCTTTACCTGGCCCTTGGCAGAACTAAGAGATGTAGCCAAAAATGGGTCTTTTCTCCTTTCCTCAGACCGAACTGGCATGGGAAGTAGAAGCTGTATTGGTCCTTTGTCTCTATTTGAGAGGTCTGAAACAAGCAAGCAGCAAAATTACCAGAGTATGGTGCAGTGACAGTGAACCTTTTTGGGCCCGAGTGCCCAGGCTGGGGGGGAAAAAACAAAATACCAGTGAGTGGTGGGCGGTAGCGGCAGTGGAACCAGAAGTGGCAGTGGAACAGGGAATACCGGGCATGGAGGTGCTTCGAGACCCCCTCCAGATTCACCGCCAACAGTAGCTGCTCTGGATCCTGGCCTGCCGCCTGTTGGGGCGCCAGCACCATGGCTGCAGCCGCCTCCTCAGGTTTGGCTGCGGGGGGGGGAGTAGTGATCTGGTAAATTATGGCTCGCATGCCCATAGAAAGGGTTCTGCGTGCCAGCTGTGGCACGCGTGCCATAGGTTCGCCATTGCTGCTATACTGCTTGAAGCTTCTATTGCTGAGGCAAAACCTTCTTCCTTCTGATACAGCAGGGGGCTGGAAATGGTTGTAGCTGATCTCTTTCACTAGGAGGATGGAAGATGAATGAGGTAGCAAAGCAAAAGAGGACTTCTTGGCTAGTTGAATAAATTTATTTTCTTTTCCTTATTCCAGGACTGGCAATGCAGTGCTGCTGTGGCTGATGCCCTGAGATGGCCAAAACAGGCACGGATGAATCTCAATTACCACTGGGTAAGCCACCCACTGACGCCCACTGTGCTTGCCCATTAACAAATGTGCAATGGAGGTGGGAATTTCAGTGTTCTATTCTTGGTTTCTCTCTCACATATGCCCTTTTAACTCACTCTTTCTCTCTGTTTTTTGAAACAGAAGGTGGAGAACCTGCTTCACAGGTCAAAGACGAGCGGTCAGAAGCTAAGCCAGAGTCTCAGAGCACAGTGAAAATTGAGGTGGTTTGCACAGATGATGGAGAGAGCTCTACGCACAGTGCTGGTGAGGAAGAATAAGAATACAGCTTTGGGCCCCGGCAGCAGAAATTTGGAATGACTTGGCTGGTTTTTGTTTGTGGGACACCCTCATGGTACCATTGCAGTTCAGACCAAGAGTGTTTGTACTTACTTGTTTGCCATCCCACAGCATTCAGTTTCTTTTTACTGCAGAATTTTAAAGCTGTTGGCATGCATGGTTCAAAAGGTCTTTGGAAAATATAGTGTAAACCAATTATGAGGGTAGCTTCTCATGCCCGCACTTAGAAGCAAGTGAACTGCTTTTTAAAAAACATTGTAAGTGATCATTAATATGTTAAAGGCCTAAGGAAATTAAATATACTTTCCCATCTTCTCTAAAGGCTGTATACATAATTTGATGCCAGATGAACCAAATAAGTGAGATTCCCATGAGCTGTCTGCCTCAGAACTGGGCCTCTAATGATAGGATCTAACTGATTGATCTATTAAAAATGTGTCCCCAGTTAATCATTATCTATTCACTTTAACTCTCATTAACCAAGATTTTAAAAACTGAGAGGAAATTTGTTTTGCCTTAAGTGAGTTGTATTGTATTTTCTGAGCTCGATGAGAATTCCAATGTATTGAGGGTCAGGGATAGGGTTTTAGGTGTGTTTCTTGTATTTTCTGGTGCTAATCAGAATTGCCAGTGTCCATCCAGATGGGGCCAACCTGTTGAAAACCAGAGTGTAGTGCTTCTGTATCCCCATCTCTTGGTTCCATGAAAAATGGAACTGAAAGGATTCCCCACCCCCACCCCCGTTGGTCCCATTATGATTTATTAGCTGGGATACAGAAATGTGAGGAAATATTTCTTTATGGTGGCAGAGTTGTGGCAAAAAGCAGATTTGTTAAGATATTCCTTTGTCCCAGCTGGTTCTTGTTTGTTTAAAGTGTACATGGCAAGAAGCTGATCTACGCACAGTGCTGGTGAGGAAGAATAAGAATACAGCTTTGGGCCCCGGCAGCAGAAATTTGGAATGACTTGGCTGGTTTTTGTTTGTGGGACACCCTCATGGTACCATTGCAGTTCAGACCAAGAGTGTTTGTACTTACTTGTTTGCCATCCCACAGCATTCAGTTTCTTTTTACTGCAGAATTTTAAAGCTGTTGGCATGCATGGTTCAAAAGGTCTTTGGAAAATATAGTGTAAACCAATTATGAGGGTAGCTTCTCATGCCCGCACTTAGAAGCAAGTGAACTGCTTTTTAAAAAACATTGTAAGTGATCATTAATATGTTAAAGGCCTAAGGAAATTAAATATACTTTCCCCTCTTCTCTAAAGGCTGTATACATAATTTGATGCCAGATGAACCATATAAGTGAGATTCCCATGAGCTGTCTGCCAAAGGTGAGGCCCTCAGAACTGGGCCTCTAATGATAGGATCTAACTGATTGATCTATTAAAAATGTGTCCCCAGTTAATCATTATCTATTCACTTTAACTCTCATGAACCAAGATTTTAAAAACTGAGAGGAAATTTGTTTTGCCTTAAGTGAGTTGTATTGTATTTTCTGAGCTCGATGAGAATTCCAATGTATTGAGGGTCAGGGATAGGGTTTTAGGTGTGTTTCTTGTATTTTCTGGTGCTAATCAGAATTGCCAGTGTCCATCCAGATGGGGCCAACCTGTTGAAAACCAGAGTGTAGTGCTTCTGTATCCCCATCTCTTGGTTCCATGAAAAATGGCACTGAAAGGATTTCCCCCCCCCACCCCCGTTGGTCCCATTATGATTTATTAGCTGGGATACAGAAATGTGAGGAAATATTTCTTTATGGTGGCAGAGTTGTGGCAAAAAGCAGATTTGTTAAGATATTCCTTTGTCCCAGCTGGTTCTTGTTTGTTTAAAGTGTACATGGCAAGAAGCTGAAAACTTGGGGATGTTGTTTATAACTGTTCATGAAGCAATCCTCTAGAATGCCTGCCTCAGGGGTGAGCAACTTCCAGATTAGATCTTGGAAGGTGGGCCTATTCCTACTCCCAGAGCCCCCTCCCCAAATTTAGGTGTTTTTTTTTTAAACCTCAGAATGGCTGACCATGCCTCTTGGGGCCTGCAAGTGGCCATTTTGTTCTAATGTCTTGGGACATCCAGAGGAAGTGACATTGATCTCATTTCAGGGTTGGTTTTTTGTGGTGGTGGTGGGGGAAGAGACAGACCAGTAACAGGCCTATATCAGTCCTCTTGCCACTTTCATAGTTTGAAATTGCAGTCCAGAACATGATTGGCTAGTTTGGTTTTTTTTTACGGGAATAGGGACAGGGAGGGGTGGAGACGTCCACTCTCTGCCTACCTCTTGTCAGACTCTGACAGAACAAAGATTTCCCATCCTCGTCCATGAGGATCAAAGTGTGTGGATTTTATATGGATACATATTAAAAAATGCAAGTGTGAAGTGCATCTTACAGGGTGATAAACTGTTGCAATGGGGGTAGCAGATACCATTTAAAAATAAAGCATTTTTGAAAAGGGGATGGCTTTTCCTCCCCTTCCATGCGAATTTGTAGAAATAAATGAACTAATTGACTAATACGGAATAAGTAACCTAGTGATCTCTAGGACTACGTCTTCTGTCAGTTCCAGCCAACCTGATTAGGGGCTGACAGATGTTGTCACCCAAAACACCTGGAAGGTGCCAATTGCCTGCCTCTGGACTAAAATCAGCATGATTACTTAATTCAAGTTTTACTTGAATTTGCTGGCAGTCTTTATTATAATATGCAGCTATTTTAAGCAGTGGCTTTGATGAAGAGTGTGTCAAGTGTGGGAGGAGATTCCTGCTGTTTTCTGAATCATGCTCCTTCTCCCCCCCCCGTTCTTTTCCTCCGCAGCCGAGGAGCCGGCCCGCAAGCGCAAAAAGGGCCCCGCTCCGAAGATGTTGGGCGATGAGGTGTGTAGCGTGTGTGGAGACAAGGCTTCAGGGTTCCACTACAACGTCCTCAGCTGTGAGGGCTGCAAGGGCTTCTTCCGGCGTAGCGTCATCAAGGGAGCCCGGTACACTTGCAAGGGCAGCGGGCAATGCCACATGGACATGTATATGCGCCGGAAGTGCCAGGAATGCCGTTTGAAAAAGTGCCGGCAGGCAGGCATGCGGGAGGAATGTGAGTAGCTTCAAGAGGAGGGGACAGGCTGGGAATCGGGAGCGGGTGCGAAAGCATGTTTTGGAAGACGGAGAGCAAGCAGGGGACTTGGATAATTCCACATGGTCTCCAAGTCACCTCAGATGTAGAATCCTCGTCTGGGCAAGATTAACCATGTACTTGTGACCAAACATTGGGGGGGGGGGTTTAAAAAATGTGCCACATTTAGCTGTCTTTCTGACGTAGTTCTCACAGACTTCACACCTGTTGGGGTTGACATCACAAGAAACTCAGAAAACGTCAGCTAGAAACTGGGCTTTCTCAGCGGTAGCACCCACCTTGTGGAATGCTCTCCCACAGGGGTTATGGCACTTGCTTTTCACTTTTAAAAAGCTCTGGGAAACAGAGCTGTTTAGGGAACCTTTTGGGGAGTGAAGGAAGGAGAAGAGGAATATTGTACATTCTGAAACTGTTACTTTGCCACCTGTCTTGTTTATTTGTGAGATAATTTGGTATTTTATAGTATTTGATAATTTATGTTTCTTCATATTCTTTGTCGTAGGAATGTAAAATTTCTGAAAAAATCTCTTTTTTTCCAGAAAAGAACAGGGAAAAATGTTTTTTTTTAAAAATGGAAATTTTCAGAAATTTTACATTTCTAACACGGCCCAGATTAGTGATTTGCTAGGTGAATGATGTGTGTGTACACACACACACACACACACACACAGAGAGAGAGAGAGAGAGAGAGAGAGACACCTATGATATTCTAAATATTTCCTATCACTGTTTTTTTTCCATATTAGAGACTTCTCTTTTTTGTATACACACATTTTCTCATTTATAAATTCTGGTCACAGGCCTAGCATTTACTTCATAACTGTTTTGGTTTTTTTTTTTTAATTTACCACTCAGAAACAACATGGAGTGGTTTATAAATTCTATACTTAATTACTTGCCCTGTTTTGTTTTTAGTTTTAAATTCCTGCTTTCTGCTGCAGTAGCCATTAAGGTAGTCTACAAATTGCAAGTGATTAAAATTGCAACACAATAATAAACTGTTAACAATCAGCAGTTGTAAAAACAAGTGAACATCACGTAGAGAAAGCAGTGGTGTAATTTTGAAAAACACAAACGAGAAACAAAGCAGCTTGGCGTAGTTAATATTAATTACAAGGTTGAGCAAACAAGATTACTTTGGCTTGATTTTAAAAATTATTATAGTGATGACTATAGACCAGTCTTTCTGGGAAGAGAATCCCACATCCTAGAAGACAGTTTTCCAGGGATGTGGGGGGGGCAGGAGGCGGATCCTGGCGTAGTGAGAACTTTTGAAATCCTATCTGTTTGATTTCACCAGACATTGGAAATGTTATTGTTTTTGGGATATCAGTTTTAGAACCAATGGGATTCAGGGAAATCTCCAGTAACCAGTCCCCAAAAGAAGCATTTCCCGTTTCTAGATTCTACGTGATCTCATTGGCTCATCCCTCTGTTGTTTTTCTAGGTGTTCTGTCAGAAGAACAGATCCGTAAGAAGAAGATCCGCAAACAGCAAGAGGGCGAAGGTGCCTCAAGCATGGAGGGGAGTGGCAGTGGGGAGGTTCTCCGAGTGCCCCCTCTGCCCTGTGATCCTGCTTTATCCCAGCCCGAACCAGCTCCCCTCACGCCGCAGCAGGAGGGTATGATCCGGCAACTGGTGGCAGCACAACAGCAATGCAATAAAAGGAGCTTCAGCGACCAGCCCAAAGTCACGGTAATCACCCATTATTCAAGGCAGAGGAAATGTGAGAAAAATGTTCCAAATATGTGATCCTCAGACCTTCTTCTTTCAGAATCCTTGGAAATATCTTACCCTAGTGATTTCTCTTTAGATCTCATTCTTTGAATGAAATCACAGGGATTAAAGTTAGTTTCACTCCAAGACCAACAACAAAGATTCTGTTTGCACCTTTAAAAATTAAATTTTTATTTGGCATAGGTTTTCAGGGATTGCAACCCATATCACCAGAGGTGTAGATGAAGTTTAATAAGCCAAGATATTATGAGCCTTTCGCCTGTGCATGCAGGCCCTTCGCTCAAGCCATGATTAAGCCAGGAACTATCTAATTGACCATAGTTTTCTGTTTTGGAAATGGGAAACCATAATTACTGAGATTAAAACAAGACAGAATATTAAACTATGATCTGAAGTTGCTCTAATATCCTGGCTTGTTCCAAAGCTAGTAACTGTAATTTTCTACTTTGGATGAAATGGAACTTACAATTAATAAGAGGTCCCTGGGTTATCTGATCTCAATGCAGAGAAAAGGGGCTGTGTGCACAGTTATGAAAGCTTGTGTGTCAGCAGTCTGATTGTCCAACCATGATCACTCAGACACACTTGTGAATACCTCATCATCCTCTCCCACTTCAGCATTGAAGCATTCCTGGTCTGTCCCATCCCATCCTGGCTCCAATCTGTCCTCCCCTGAAAATTTAGAATCTTGTTCTTAAAACACTTCCAGCCCCACTGCAGAGCCCTGTGTTTATTGCTAACTGATGACTAGCACTTGGATGACTGTCCATGAATTAACACTGAAACAAGCTCATAAATAACAAGACTCATAAACTTTAGAAAAGAAAGAGGCAGAGCAGCCTTCCCATTTTCTGTCACCTGCCCCGTTTCTGTCACTCTTCTATCCCGAGGAGGAGGAGGCAGGAGAGGGGCAAGGAAGTTGTTTTGTTTCATTTCTTTTCGTAAGGAGGGCAGGCCAAACAGGATTGCTTGAGGTGCATATGCCATGTGGATTGTCCCAAATGGCATGCCGGGCTTCTGCATGGCCTTAAGGAACCTGATTTGGCTTGCTGCGACTGAGCCATCTAGCCAAGCCTACAGTTATCCTTTGGTTAAGGCAAATTGCCAGGGGGTTGGGAAAGGTCTGGAATTACAGTCGTGCCCCACTTAACTATTACCTCGTATATTGATGAATCCACTTCACGCCGATGTTTTTGCGATCGCAATTGCAATCGCAAAACGATGTTTTAATGGGCTTTTTTCACTTCCCGATGATCGGTTCCCTGCTTCGGGAACCGATTCTTCGCATTACGACAATCAAAACAGCTGATCGTCGGGTTTTCAAAATGGCCGCCAGCTGCTCAAGATGGCTCCCTGCTGTTTTTAGGAGGCATTTTTCGCAAGACAGGCACCCAAAAATGGCCGCAGTATGGAGGATCTTCACTGGACGATTAGGTATTCCGCCCATTGGAACGCATTAACCGGTTTTTAATGTGTTTCAATGGGTTTTTTTATTTCGTTTGACAACGTTTTCGCTCTACAGCGATTTCGCTGGAACGAATTAACGTCGTCACGCGAGGTACCACTGTATCCTGGATCTGCTTTAGAGGGAGTCACTAAGCTCTTGCAGTCTTGTTCATTAACAAGCAGCAGGTAAGAAATTGGTATTTGAAGAGGGAGATCCTTTGGGACCACATTGGAGCATTGCTGTCTTCCTAGACCAATCTCACCTCCCCTTCTTTCCTTCTCCCACCTTCTTTGCACTCCTCTGTTGTTGCCCAGCCCTGGCCAATGGGCAGCGACCCCAACAGCCGGGAAGCCCGTCAGCAGCGTTTTGCCCACTTCACGGAGTTGGCCATCATCTCTGTGCAAGAGATAGTGGACTTTGCCAAGCAGGTGCCCGGTTTCCTGCAGCTGTCCCGGGAAGACCAGATCGCACTGCTCAAGGCCTCCACCATCGAGGTGAGGACGAGTGTGATAAAATATTTTGTGTGTTGCCGTTTAAGCACTTGTGTTCTTAAGCCATGTTACTTGCAGCCCTAGGCCTCCATCTGTGTAATCCAGGATATACAGAAGTATTGCCAGATTCTGTAGTAGTGACTAAGTGGAATCTCAGTGGTGGAACATATATGTTCCTTGCAAGAAGTCCCACATTCAATTCATGACATTTCTAGTTTTTTCTTTAAAGAAATGAATTGTGTAGCACAAGAGTGCAGATTGTCTTTCAGAGGATGAAATTAGTTTTAAAGATGTTCTCTGGGCCCCACTTCGTAGCGAGCAGCACCAAAGGTGAAAAGGCTGGCCTATGTTAACTCAAGGTTCTTACTGCCAGTAACAATCTGTAGCAAAGGTGTTTCAAACTTTCAGAATGGGAAAAGATCTGTACAAAAGGTGGGGAAGAACCCAGCAGTGGTGTCGTGAGGAACAGGGCATGCCTGTCTGGGGAATCCTCAAAGGCAAGCTTTACCATAGGGGTCTGAGTTCCCCACTCTGATGTAGCTGGGGATGGGGAAAGATTTCTGTTAGCAAGTCTGGGGGAGATGTTCTCCACCACCACATCACCCCAGAAAGCATGCAGGGCTAAATACGAAGACGTTGTGTAAGACGGTTCCCTGCATTCCTACCCCTTGATTTGCAAGCTTCCAAACATGGGGAGTTCCTCAACAAACAAGGGGGTGATGCTCCAGTGTAAATGCAAATTGAGAGTAATGTCCTTTCATCTATAACATGGAGATTTTTGTACTGAAGACTGTTTATTTGAAAAGATCTAAGCTGAACATTTATTTATTTATTTATTTATTTAAGAGAGAGAGAGAGAGAGAGAGAGAACTGGCCTTTCAGAGGAAAAGAGTCCTCACCTAGGACTGATGTGTTAGCTTTCTGCTTGCAGTAGTTCTAGTTTTATTTTTTCATGGAGCAGAGAATTCAGCCACATGTATCTGAAGGAGCACAGATTAGCACGGATTTGCCAATTCCATAAGAACCAGGCCTCGCACTAAATTTAGTGTGGGAGTGGAATGTGAGTTATTTGTTATATTCACTGTAACTGTTTCTGTTAATTATCTGTTGATTCTGGGGTGGGGGGTTTAAAGTAATATTGGCACCTTTATGTGGAAGGTTGATCTGTATCCTTTTTAAAAAAAGAGAGATATTAAGTATTCATCCTTTTGTCCTTGCCTTGCTTTCCTCCAACAATGGATAGGGGACTTGTAATGTTGGATATGAGGAAAACATATTGCAATTCCAGTCTGTCTACATGATGGAATGTATTTACCATTCCTGTTGGCTCTTTTTTCAAAGACGAATAAAACAGTTGAGAAAAACAGAGTTGAGAAATATGGTCCAAAAAGACTCTTGAGAAGAATCACCACTTGACATGTATTTGTCTCCACAGATCATGCTGTTGGAGACGGCACGACGCTATAACCATGAAACCCAGTGCATTACATTTCTTAAAGACTTCACGTACAGCAAAGATGATTTTCACCGTGCAGGTAAATTGGGAAAGGAAAGAAGAAGACAAGGGGAGGGGAAGTGGCCAGATTATGTCTGGTGTGGGAGGGCCTATTGCCAGAAGATTCTTCTCATTAGTGCAGTGTGGCTAAAGAACAGTATCAAAAGTTAGGAAGGAAGAAAAGAAACATAACTATGTCTCTCTTGTTTTACAAATGAAGGGTGCACCAGGTTCTCAAATATGATAAAGGTCATAATGGACAAATTCTGTTTTCATGTGCAGAATGGGGAGAATTTCTCTCTCTTTTTTAGGATTATAGGCCCCAGAATCCCAAGCCAGTATGACCAGTGAGCATGTTGACTGGCAAATGCTAGCAGTCGTTGTCAAGAATAACAGGAGCAAGAATAATAATAGTTTTTCCAAGCTCTATTCATATGCTATATTAAAGCTGGCTCATATTTAGAACAGTTTTCAGGAAATACTCTTTCTGTAACGGGGAAAAATCACTTTCCTTTTCTTTTCCTTCCCCTCCCCCCCAGTATTACTTTGCTCTTTCACTCTTTGTTCTGATTATTTTTGCTTTGAAAGATGCTAACAAAATGAAATAAATAAATCCATGTAGCATACTTCCTAGCAGTTGTCTCTGCCAAGGTGAGACAAGGAAAATTGTACATGCTTGCCAAACACAGAGCCTACTCGTTCCTGCTAGACATGAAAATGACAGGGCAGCGCACTGCATTGGCATGTCTCAACAGAGTTTCATTCCCCACTTAAAACAAACCTCACTGGCACTGGTTTTGCAATGAGATCTGCAAAAGCCTAGGCAGAGTTTTACCAAGTACAGTGGGGTCTTGACTTGAGAACTTAATCCGTATTGGAAGGTGGTTCTCAAGTCAAAAAGTCTGTAAGTCAAGTCTCCATTGACCTACAGTGCATTGAAAACCGATTAATCCCGTAACAGGCCGTTTTTGTTCCATTTTGGTTTTTTTCTGGTCTGTAAGTCAAATCTCAGTCTGCAAGTCAGACCTAAATTTTGCGGCCAGAGAAGTCTGTAACTCAAAAAGTCTGTAAGTCAAGTCCACTGTACAGAATTGTTATCTTGATGTGTGTGCATATGTGTGTGTGTGTTTAGAGAACGATTCTAATATCTAAGGCAAAGTATGTAAGTAACTTGTAAGATTTAATACATTAACAGAAAAATAATTGGTTTTGTACCAACAGGAGAAATGTGTCTCATAAAAAATAACATTTTGGAAGTAAAGGAAAGCATCACTTTCGAAATGTTATTCCTTAGAGGCATCCATTGGTTTGTCCTGTTAAAGGAAAAATTTTAACATTAATGCATCGGATTAAATCCAAAGTGTTACTTCCAAGCTATGACTCAGGGTGATGCATCTGTTTGCTGCTGTGGACTGTGAAATTGGTGTTGTTAAATGAATCATGCATTTCCTCTAGTCATGCCATTGGCCATGATCTCTTCACATAAGAGGACACCTTAAACATGTTGGGCTTTCTATCTTCGGTGTGTGTTGGGTTTCGCTTGTAGCTTTCATTCCAGAACGGTGTACCTGGCATAACTATGATTACTCTTGCTGCTTAGATATTTGGTGCCCAGCCAGGATTTTCTTGCATCAATTGATCTGAGTTCTTCTGCATACTTGTTCTTATATATTAGGGTTCTTTAGAATGAAAAGGGTGTGCTTACCTTGGACTCTGGCTTGCTCTGTGCTTGCCCTCCTGCCCACTAAGTGCCATTGTGCACGTTATATTGTGGACATTCCTTGCTGGAAGAACTGAAAACTGGGACACAGAGATTGGTTCATGATCTTTGCAGATAATCTTCACATAAGAAGGCCAGTGTGGTGTAGTAATTAAGAGTGCTGGATCAAGACTTGGGAGATTGCTGGGTTCAAATCCCCACTAAACTGTGAAACTCAATGGTTGGCCTTAGGCCAGTCATCCTCTCTCAATGTGACCTACTTCACAAGGTTGTTGTGACACTCAAGCAGAGAATATCAGGCAAAACCAAAAGAAACATAAAAAACAGTGCTTATTTATGAAGAACTGCATGATTCATTTAATGTTATGGCACCTTAAAGACTAACTGCTATACAGGCGTACCTCGGTTTACAAATTTAATGCGTTCTCCGGAAACGTTTTGTAATGCAAAGAAATTCGCAAACCGAAGCGCAGTTTCCCATAGGAATGCATGCACGGGGGTGGCGCTTTAAACCTCCCAGACGCAATGCAAACTTGCTTCATATTGCGGAAAAAAATAATAAACCGAGGCATTATTTTCAATGGATTTTCGTTCATAAACAGAAAATTACGTTATCCGAGGCGTTCGTAAACCGAGGTACCACTGTATTTTAATGTGAGCTTTCGTGGACGAAAGTAGGGAAGAGGATGAGCCATTCATGTCCCTTTTTGCTCATTGGAAAAATCATAGAATACGTAATGGAGTTGGAAGAGGCCTGTAAGGCCATTGACTCCAACCCTCTGCTTAATGCAGGAATTTAAGTTAAATTATATTTGGCTGTCTTTCTCTTGAGTGCCTCCAGCATTGAAGGGTTCACCACCTCCTGAGGTAACTGTTTCCATTGTCATACTGCTCTAACGACTACAGTGTTTTTCCTGACATTCAGCCGAAGGAAGGTGGAATATAGATGTAAGAAATATATTTGGGATATTTCAGTGGAGGAGGACACTTTAATTGTAGCTAGGTTGTGGAACCTTTTGTGTGAGATATTTTTCTGGTTTTTCTCTTACATTGCCTTTGGTTGTTTGACTATTTAAAAAAAAAAACTTCACACATACGACTTGCCAGACTTCCAGGTTCACTTGTACACTCAAGTTACACTCCCCATTCTTATTCTGATTTTATCCATTTCACCTGTCTCTGTTTCCATAGGGGTGGGTGGGTGTTATACACAGGCATACACATACATAATTACTTGATTGTTTGTTAATTTTGGTTGGATTTTATAATTGAAACTTTTTAGAGCTGCCAGAACACTTTGTTTAATTTGGGTTAAAAACATTTAGCTGCACAGCAGAGGTGCTGGGACTTACAGAGCAGAATCAGCTTCAGATCTCCCCAGAGTAAACCACCCCTTTTGTCTCATCAACTGGCACTCACTTGATAATTTGTTCACTTTGGTTGGATTTTATAATTGAAACTGTTGGGAGCTGCCAGGATGCTCAACGTAAGGCCAGGATCTAGGGGTTGGCAACTCCAGAAATCCATTAACATGGCACTGGACTGGGACTGCTAAGTCATGCACAAAAATATGCCGATAGGGAACAACATATATAGGCAGACACCCCATAATAGAGATGGCAACTGGGACTGCTAAGTCATGCACAAAAATAAGCCGATAGGGAACAACATACGGTATATAGGCAGACACCCCATAATAGAGATAGCATTGCAAATACAGTGGTGCCTCACATTACGATGTTAATTCGTTCCAGTGAAATCGCTGTAGAATGAAAACATCGTAAAGCGATTTTAAAAAGCCCATAGAAACGAATTAAAACCCGATTAATGCATTCCTATGGGCTTGAAACTCACCGTCCAGCGAAGATCCTCCATAGTGCGGCCATTTTCGCTGCCCGTGCAGCGAAAATGTGTCCCAGAAAACAGCGTGTGGCCATTTGTTTTTTACCTGGTGCCCATTTTGAACCCGCTGATCAGCTGTGCGAAAATCTTCGTTTTGCGATAATCAGCAAAGCAAAAAAAACCCATAGGAAACATCGTTTTGTGATCGCTTTTGCGATCTCAAAAACTTCTTCGTTATGCGATTTCATCGTTAAACAAAGCGCTCGTCTTGCGAGGCACCACTGTATGACAATTTATTGTCATTACAACTGTGGTTCCTGATCAATAATCCTCTACAGGTCCCTTTTTCCTACAATCATGAAACCCTTTAAACAGTTCCATCAGCTTGATGGCAGACTCTAAAAGGAGAACTGGTGATAGGCAGGACAGCAGGAGTTGAACACTCAGAGAGACAATGTGCCTCAATCCTAAATTATAAATTTGGCCATATCAATGGCATTCATATCTCTGACCTGCTGTTTTCTCCCATCTGTCCCCTTCCCTGAAATCAGGCCTGCAGGTAGAGTTCATCAACCCTATCTTTGAGTTCTCCCGGGCCATGCGGCAGCTGCAGCTGGACGACGCTGAATACGCTCTCCTCATTGCTATCAACATCTTCTCTGCTGACCGGCCCAACGTGCAGGATCATGGCTTGGTGGAGGTGCTGCAGCAGCCCTACATTGAGGCCCTCAGCTCCTACATCCGCCTCCATCGCCCGCAGGTGTCTGGGTTGGCTGGGAAAGTTGCAAGGGGTGCTGAGGCAGGGTGGGGGTGGTGCCCTAGTGGTGGCTGGAGTCCCTGGTATGTGGTATTGGCACAAGAGCCAATGTTAAGTGGGTGCCAAGAGTGTCAGGCAGAGACGGGCAAAAGTGGATATCCACACACACATAGGTAGGCAGGCATGAAAGGAGAATTGGCACAAGGACTGGACTGGGATCTGAGAGTCCCAGGTTCAAGTCTCTGCTCAGTCATGAAACCTACTGGATGACTTTGAGCCAGTTATTTTCTGTTATCCTGCCCTGCCTGACTGGGTTAGTAGTAGGCATCCTTCAGTCTCGAGAGACTATGGTATCGTGCTCTGTACGGAGGTCTTGGAACAGTGTCTGTTGTGGCTGAGAAGGCCAATTCGAGAGTGACAATCTCTTCCACACTGAAGACAAATCCAGTCTGTCCCCTGTCCAGCTCCCTGGACAGCTCCCTCTCCAGCTCCCTGGTTTTGCTCATTTCGTGACTGCCTCTTTGCCTCGTCCTGCCGTACAAGTGTCTCTTCAAATTGGGAGAGGCCATGACGCACCGCCTGCCTTCAGGCTGGGTTGTTGTTTATATAAAGTGACTGGGTTGTTGTGCATATAAAGTGGGAGGAAAGAAGGGGAGAGAAGTGTATACCGCATTGAGTCTCTTGGGAGAAAAAAGACAGGATAAAATTGTTACAAATAAATATGAAATACTAAGGAATTTTCAACACTTGCATCGATGGCTAATTTGCCCTCCCTCCCATCTTCCAGGACCATCTGATGTTTCCACGCATGCTGATGAAGCTGGTGAGCCTGCGGACCTTGAGCAGTGTACACTCGGAGCAGGTGTTCGCTCTGCGCCTGCAAGACAAGAAACTGCCACCGCTGCTTTCCGAGATCTGGGATGTCCACGAGTAAACATTTGGGGGGGCGGTTGGATAAGGGTGCAAGCCCTCCCTCTCAGACCTCTTCCTCCAGGTCCAAGCAGTCACGGTTCTCTGTTAAGGATTCTTTGGACCTCAGCACAAGACTTGGCCATTGACGGATTGTTGGTCCCGCCAGAGGAACTGTATCAAGGGGTGGGGGCTATGAAGCACTTTTTTCCTCCTCTCTACCCAACCCCTCTACTTATATTTCCTTCAGCATTTGCCTCTCTACTTTTGGTTTCGGAGAAGGGAAGAGGCCGGTCATAGTTGTACTCTTGGTGGGAATACGGGGGAAGATGCAATGGAAATCTCCCTGAAGACCTACGCCCCACACTTCAGAATGCATTAAGGACCCTGCGCCAGTAGGGTTTTTTAGCCTGACAACACCTGTACCTGCCAGTCCTCCCAGAAAGCAGGGAAGGCATATTGCAGTAGAAAAGAAGACTGAGGGGCTAGTCGTATGCCTGGGGTGTGTGGGTGACAAGACGCCCAGAGAAAAATAATAAACTCAGATATGTCACTCCAAATGTGTTTGGCCTGTTCTTGTTGTAACATGTCAATGGAGAGTAAAGCCAGTGGGCGATATGACCTGCAGATTTCAGGAATAAAGGTGGCTCCATATCCAATACCTTTTGAAGGGGCAAAGAAAGGGCACTATCTGGAAGAGTGGTGTTATGGGTAGAGGAGGGCTAGGAGCTAGCATGCTTTTGGCGAAGAGGGCACACCTGGACACGTATGCAGGGGACTAACCCACAGGAGTGGCAAACTTCCAGGGTTCTCTGGCAGCTTTAAGAGAGCTAATCAGTCAAGGAGGGAAAAAGTTTGCATGGCGTAATGTTTAGAGAGCTCTGCTAAAGCCAGGCTGTGACATTGCTTTCCGTTGGGGCAGAACCCAGAAGACCAGTATACTGTAGCTTAAATCTTGCTGCCAGTAAATAAGCCTTCGAAAGACACATCAGCCTTTTAGAGTAGGGGGAAATACACAAAAGCTGGGAAACTGGATGAAAGGACTCGCGGGAAAGGGTGTGGCCTTCTGGGAAACTGAAGAAGAGGTTGGCCTCGTTTTAAGGTTTGCAATTTCTCTACTGCTGTGCTGGGGAGACTCCACTACAGGTTCTCAGGCAACTATTTGAGGGCCTGTGTATCACCGTGTCTCAGTGCTATTGGGAGGATAAAATAGGTGCTCTATAGAAGACTAACATAAAAACCATATTAACATGAAAAAGAATAACCCCCTTCCTGAAAGAAGGCTGCGCGTCAGGGTGGTTTGCTTACAATAATTGCCTTTGAGACACTCCCAACCATAAAAACTGCTGTGCTTCAGTGTAGAACACTGGACAGCAATGTGTAATGGGATTACCAACTACAATAATTGCCTTTGAGACACTCCCAACCGTAAAAACTGTGCTTGTGTAGAACACTGGACAGCAATGTATAATGGGATTACCAACCGAAACCAATATTCTTATTGTTAAATATTTGTGACAATAGTGTTGATGTCAACCCGTTAATCCACCCCCTCTTCCCTATATGACTAATAATTCTGCTTCATTCTAACATGTCTGAAGAAGTGGATGTATCCATGACAGCTCACAATGAGAGATGGCAGTTAGTCTTTAAGGCACCACAGCATTGCTGTTTTCTATTTTTTTATTTTTGTGTTTGGATATGCTTGCACAGATTAATGTGTCTAATTCCTACCCCCAGAGACTCCCCTAAAGGAGAAACCACATGGATGCCAGGACTGTGGGAAATATTTTGCTTTCAGTTCTCACTTTGAGAGCCACTAGCGTGTCCATGTAGGGAAGAAGCGTGTTCAAGATACAAATTAGCAGATACAACAAAACAAAAGTATCATAAAGCCACTATTCCATGTAAAATACCCAAAATGCACCATGTATGTAACCCAAGACATGTTTGTCATTAGTTGACAGAGGAATACTATAATATAGATGAAGTTCTTTTTCAAAATTCCATTTTATGTTAACACACCAAATACAGGAAAAACTAATAATGTAGATGTATTAAAAAAGAAACCAGAGCAAGGAGAATATTAAGAAGATTCCATCAGTATGTAAAATACCCAAAATGCACCATGTATGTAACCCAAGACATGTTTGTCATTAGTTGACAGAGGAATACTATAATATAGATGAAGTTCTTTTTCAAAATTCCATTTTATGTTAACACACCAAATACAGGAAAAACTAATAATGTAGATATATATAAAAAAAGAAACCAGAGCAAGGAGAGTATTAAGAAGATTCCATCAGTTTTCTATATTTGCATGAAATCTTATATTCCAGAGGCTAGAATCCAGCTGAAAAATTGTGCTAGCTCAAGTCCACCAACCTGAATTTTAGCTTTGAAGTCTAATGATCATGTGACAAGTCAGCATTGGCACCAGGTCACATGGTTTATGTGCAATAGCAAATGCCTGCACCCGCTTCTTACAGCAATGTGTAGTTCTGATCCACACTAGTGAAGTCACATAGTGTGGATCAGAACCCACATAGAGTCGTGAAGAAATTAGGTCAGTTCCATATTATTGGACAAAATACACCAGGAGAAAGGTGTATTTTGAAAGCTCACCAAGGGAAGGGAGATCCTTTATTGATTGTGATGTAGACCCCTCCACATACATACATCCGACTGCAGGAGAGAGGCTACTGTCTGTTTCTTTTAATAAGCCGCCTAGGAGAAAGACATATATAAATATTTTAAATAAATAATAATACATCTGAGTGCCCTCCAGATGTGTTGAACTATGAGGAATATAAGCCCCAGCCCAAATTTTCTCCCAGCACATATGGTAAGCAGCTGCTTGGGGAAGCTGCCCTACTGCATTCTGCTTTGTTTTAATGTTGCCCACGGTTGTCCCAGCTCTCTTGAGTTAACTCTCCTATACTTCCTGCTGTGGAATTTTCCAGCTGTCAAATAGAGGGGAAAACCCAAGGGCTGCCTGGAAAATGGGGAATTCCTCCGCCTTGGTCTAACGATTGCCTCCAGAGGGCGCTCACTCTCCACTGTTTCTAATCAAGTTGGATTGTATGCACGGATCTGATGGTTTTCCTCCTCAACTGGTTAATTCCACTGGAAAGTAGTTTTATTAGTATGTTTGTTGCCAAAGTACATGAAAAAGAAATGTCCCCAAAATTTCTGTCAGGGAGTGGCACTCCCAATTCTATACAGAGAAGAAAATCTTTTTCCCCTCGGTTTATGCAAATACATGAAATTGCAAATGATGTTGCTCAATTAGGGCTTATTCTAGAGCTTTTTTATTTTTATAGTTATAGGGCTCATTCTACAACTTTTTTTATTATTATTACAGTTATTCTTTGGCAGACTGTCCTGGAACAGTTAGGAATCTGGTGCATATAGAGAAGGAAGGGTGACGATACATATTAAAAGACAAAGACAGCCGGGTATACAGAGCACAGAGGTTATTCTCTGTTAATACTGGAATATTTTTGGTTTGTACTTCCAGAATTTAGAACACAAGCCCATGAGGCCTAGAACCTTTTTGTAATTGCTCCACTACTTGAAATAACTGCCATCTTCTGTGTAAAATTAGGGCATGTACTCAGTCTATAGAGAATTGATCACATTCCGTTTCTTTTTTAGTAACCCTAACAAATGTCATATATCTTTCTACTAAAACAAATTAGCTTCAGAGTAAGATGACATGGAAAGGAGGAAGTAAAGTCTTAACAGACACAAGCAGAGAACACTTTTGCCTCTTACTTTCCAAATCCTTGCCAATTACAACAGTGGCAAATAGAATACTTTCAAAAACTGCAGAAATAATCATTACAAGATAAATGTTTTTAAAGTCAGGAGATGCAACTGTTGAGTTTAAAAACAGGTGGAAAGAAAAGAGGGACCCTACAAGTTGGTAATTTCCAATGTGTTTTGAAAAACACTTACTGTATTGGAAAAAAATAGAAGTACTGTACGCTATACCATACCCTTAGGGTGATGTCCCTTGATAAAACAATGTGTTTGCTTGTTTATTTTAATACTTTTCATTATGAACTCTTCCTAGGTGGTTTTTTTTCCCTAACAGATACATCACACATCAAAAATATAGCAACAACATCTTAAAACACAAAATTTATTTTAAAATTTGGCAGAATAATACCTGGTGTCAAAGAAATTATAATGTAGTGACAGAGGTTGTGCATTTTTTATTTACTGTTTGCAATGGGAGACAGCGGGAGCCACCATCTTAAGAAATTAATGGCTAAATCCTAAAAGGCTATACAGTATATAGAGCCACAGCAGGGAAACCTGCACTCTACATGTTTTTGGATTTCAGTTTTCAGGAGCCCCAACTAACACAGCCAGTGGGCAAGGATAATGGGAGCTGTAGTTCAGAGATACATGGAGGGCTTGGTACACAGGTATTCTACTGGTGGTATACAGAAAGATTGGGCAGAAAGTAGATAGAGATGGGGGGAGATTCCTTTTTTGGTTTACAAGTCTTGCATTACCTCAGGTATACTGGGAGTTGTAGTTCCAAAATGGAACCTTGTTTGTTTCTGAAATCTGCTTAGTGTCTACTGTGACTTCTCTGGAACCTACTGGCAGATTTATTTGCATCCAATCAGCAAGTATATCTGGTTCCCAATTATTTAATGAAAATATAACAAAAATGCCTTATGTTCCTCCTAAATCAGGTGAAATTAGGAACTCTTGGGAGAGAACTGATAGGTGAAAATTCTCTAACTGAAGGATTGGTATATGGTTTACAGTTCTAGTACTATAAATGAATCCTTGGGTTCAACATATTTTCCTTCTTAAATAATTCTGCCTTTCTTTCAGTCACTATTATCATACTTGACTCTGGTTAATGGATCTCTTGTGAAAAGGTGAAGATGAAATTAATTTAACCCTGATGTAGAGAGAAGACTCTCTTCCAAATCAGGGGGCTACAAAGGAGGAATTGACATGTCAGAAAGAGAAAGGGTTACACAGATGGGATCAGGGGAAAGAGCCAATGCTATCATTAAGCAGAGTGAGGCAAGATTCAGGTGCTAACTGGTGGGGTTTCAGAGCCCTTGATAGGGTGCTTGACTCCCCCCAGGAGTCCTATGGATATCCTACAGAATGTTAGTGAAAAAATCCTACAGGTTTCTAAGTTTGGAGGAGTCTAGGGACAATGATCAGGCATTAGAATCTCTAACTTGATGGGAACAGCAGTGGTAACCTACTTACTGTTTCTTATGAACTTCCCAGCTATGTATCCAATTAGTATTTCCTGTGTCTTCTAAGTTGGTTGATGGGAACAGCAGTGGTAACCTACTTACTCTTTCTTATGAACTTCCCAGGTTTATCCTCCATTGAACAACAGAGCTATGTATCCAGTTAGTATTTCCTGTGGCTTCTAAGTTGGTCTGCAGGTTCAGATATAATGATAAAGCTTGGAACATTTACTTTCAAAATGGAACTTGTTGCATTCTTCATTAGTTTGCTTGGCCATCAGGTTGTCTTCCTCAATATTACTGCCGTTCAGGAAAGAAATTAA